CTGCAGCGCCGCAGTGTAGCCGCTAGGGGGCGCCAGAGTCCGGGCGCTGGTACCTGCCCCGCCGCGTCCTCCCTCAGGCCCTGCCCTGCCCAAAGCGGGCCTCGTGTGCCCGGAGGATGAAGAACCGTGAGGCCCGGGAGCCGTCACCTCGGAAAGGAACACCCCAGCCCTCTGGAAACATCCCTTTGTAACAAGAAAACCCCCTGAGGATCTCGAGGGCCAACGCCTGCGGCCTTTTCCTTAGGGGCCCTGAACATCTCAGATTTACCGTGTCACTCTCCACAGATGCAGCTGAAGCGCCTCATTTACTGGAGCAATCCCCCCTTCCCTGGAAGGCAGGAGCCTGTACCCCATCATTACCACTCACTCAGGTAAGAAGCACCCTTTTAATTCTTTCTCCTTTAACTCCTGCCTTGGGAACATCACATTCCTTCCTTGGAGTTTCCATACCCAGTGTACTGTCACTGCTATTCGTTTCAAAAATTAAGTTATAGTCCCATAAAGTGTTGTTCCCCTCCCCTCTTCCCCCAGGAGCATTGACCCTAAGGTAACCACTTTGCTGGCAACGGAAACGTAACCCAACGTTTTATTTACAGAAAACTCCCAGCTCTTATGAGAGCACGTGTTGATATGGCCACATCTTGGACAACTGCAGTTAAACCTAAGCCTCTAGATTGAAACTGCAGATTTTAACACTCAGGCCCTGAATTTCATTGTCGGAAAAAAAAAAGCAAAAGTTGAAATTTATTCTCACAAATTACTACCAAGCCAGAGGACACACTTGGGCTGTGTAATGTCCCAAACCGTCTTCAGCAAAAGTTTTGTTTCCAGTATAAAACAGTAACATGATTTTTAAAACAAAACCTACAGGTAAAGAGGGAAAATATTACATCTTAACAAAAAAGATTTATTCTGACTAAACAAAATGTACAATGTTTCCCAAATGACAGTGAGTTTTCATGACTGAAGTCTGCAGATCCATGGAGTAACTCGATCACTTCTTACCCTGCAGTTTGATCAAACTACTTTTTGCCAGACTTCTTTATTCCACCGCTGGCTGCCAAAAGAAACAACACAACTGGTTAGACAACTGTTACAGTGCTTAGCTACAAATTTAGCTCCTCATAAAGTCAAATCCCCACTAGACCGCCTGTACAATTCAGATCCCCACTGGTGAACTGTTTTTGCATGTGTTACTGTGTTTGTGATCTCACATCCTTTACTCTGAATGAATAACTTACTTAACATTAGAAACCAAGTTTCTCTGGAAACACACCCCATAAATCTCCAGCAGAACTAAATATTTCCATATTTCTTTGTTTCTCCAGGACACCCTCCATTGTTTATTTCTGATTCAGCAGCGTGGTCTGCTCAAATCTAATTCGAGGCTAAGGTAATAAAAACCTCAGTATCCCTACAGCAACCAGAGCCCCCAGTTGGGATCCAAGCTCTACAGAAGCAGGTACTGGAATGATGAGAATGATTCTGCTCTCTGCAGTCCCTATTACTGAAGGGGCTAAAGCAGGGTGAAAGAATACAACGAATTAACACAGCAACAAGCGTGGCATTTTTTGTAAATGCTGGTTTCTACAGCACGTGTCACGTATGAGCAGCAGAAAGGAAAAAAGAATAGCAAGGCTACAGCAAGACCGGCTGCAAGGGCTGATGATCAAGAGCAGACTTTGCCCTGAGATATGATTTTAACAGCGTTGCCTTGCTGAGGCTCTTGGGAACCGTCTCGCCCTCCCACAATAACAGCATAATCACTGTCTGCTTTGGCAAGCGTTGGACAAGGACCAGGCAGCTGAAACTCAAGTCTAGGAAAAGTCAGAGTAATAATGGCTGGGAAAAAAGAAGAAGAAGAAATCTAAGTTGAAGCGCCCTACACAGAACAAGTTTAGGATGGTGAGGACACAGGAGAGGCTCGCTGAATTGTTTTGCCTCACTCTCTAACACCAAAGACATTCTGAATCCCACACCCAGCACATTTTTTGTATGCAGATACATCAGAGGAGCTAGATCCATTTGAGATAAACGAGAAATCTCCCAAGTCTGGATGGCACTCCCTCCAAGAGCCCTGACAAGCTCTAATGTGAAAACACAGAAGTGCTGGCTAAGATTTGAAACTTCTTATTACAGCCACGAAGTCAGAGGACTCAGAGCACCAGCACAACTCCCAGACACAGAACGGGTTCTGTAAAGAACTGGGGAACCAGCAAGTCTGACCTTGATCTCAGAGAAGATAACAGAGTCTGTTACAGAGCAAATGGATAAACACCGTCTTGTGCAAGTTAACAGGACTCCTGTAAATGGTAAATCCTTCCTCGCTGACCTGCGGGAGCTCTGAGGTTATCATTAACGTACGGATAAAGTGAACCCAGGGGATTTCGTATTTTCAAACAGCATCTGACAAGATCCCATACCAAAGCTTGTTAGTGAAAATAAGTTGCTGTGGGATTGCTGGAAAGGTCTTTTTGGGACCTTTCAAGACTGAAAGCTTCCTAAAGAACTGGAAGTCAAGTTTAACAGTCTTCACAGAATGGAGCAGGGATCAGTCACGTTCTAGCACTGTATGAAACAAAGATGAGGCTCACGCACCATCAAGATGCACCCTGCAAACTTTCTTCTGTGATACAGCACACTTTACAGTCACTTAGGGAAAAGGGCTGAAGCCAAACTAATTTCCAGTCACTTTTTTTTCTGCCAGGAATGTACTGCTCTTGAAGAAATTAATCCCCTAAGATAACAAAAACTGGATCTGTTAAACCTTCAGGACTGTGGCAAAGCCCTACGTGGATCACCAAAGAAAAAGATGTAATGCTAAAGTAAGAGCAGAAACATCTCTGCACCATCCCACCGGAATAGGTGAGCACACCGGACCCATGGTTACCCCTCCTAAGCCAGAACCCACATTGGTGATTTGGGGGTGAAATTGCAAAGTGAAAGGAAAAAAAAGTCAGCCTCTATTGTTAGCTGTCATCTGTACCTGCCATTGACTCACTGGTGTATGTTAAATAACCTCGAGGTACGTCCCTTTTTATGTTTGTCAAGCAAAAACAGTACATTTTTGAAGCCAGCAAGCCCTCCGTTTTTCCTATCAGTACAGCACCTCACTTACTGAGGGGCCCTTTTCCAGCAGCCTTTGCTTTCATCTCCTCAAGTTTCTTTTGCTCCTCCTTCTGCTTTTGTTTAAATGCCAGATCTGTCTAAAGAAAAGAACAACAGTGTTTGTTAACATCTCCTCCTCCAAAAAATTTCAAAAACAACTGACAGGCAATGAGAAACAAATGTAATGTTCTAACAGCAATAAAAACCTGACTGAACTGAAGCAAGACAGCTGAATACTACGAAACGTGCAAAACCACGACAAAGTTTTGTCTGCTGTACCAGAACACAACGACTACACTTTGTATGTTTGATCTTTCTGGAATGAAACAGGTCTTGTTGCCCACAGCACAACCTCATTCTGCCCTCTGAAGGACAGATCTTTGCATCCCTGCCAGAACAGCCCCCGGAGCTCACAGGAGCCTGGACGTACCCCATCCCCTAGGTACGTGTGTTCCTCAGAGACACCAAGGCTGAAAGGGACCACAGCCTTTTCCCTGGCACCCAGGATTTTTGGGTAACTAAACTGAGGACCTTGGCAACCAAGACTGAGATTCTTCACCCATCAGTCCAAGGCTCAGCTACCTCTGTGACTGGAAAGCTTTCCTCTTCACATTAAAGCTTCCTTACTGCAGTGTAAGCCTATTACTACCCCACACAGAACAGAACATTCCGTTTCTCCAGGTTTTCCACCGTTTTTCTCCTGTAGACTAACGTGTCTTTCCTAGTAAATCAATCCCTCTCGTTTATTGACCTCTGGAGGTTTTTTTCCTTGCAAGGTGCTGCCCCATGTGCTCACAGTACTGCAGTGCTGAGAGGAAAAGAAATATTATTGTATCATTTGACACACAAGATTTTTTGTTATATATCTTGTATTATTTTCATTTCCAACACCTGATTTTGCAGGTTCATGTTCAGTGTATGATCTAAGTCTTAAATCCTTTCAGGTGGACTTGGAGTTTAGCCAGCCATTCTCCTCGTATTTTATAATTTGATTAGTCTTACCAAAGAAAGGGACTTAACATACATGCTTAATTAAATTAATCCATTTTTTCAAACGTTCTTTAATTTATTAAGGTTTCTTTGACCACTAGTCCTGTCCTCTGACAGTCTGTGGCCCCTCCAAATTGTCTTCTACCAAGAGAATAAGCCACAGAATCAGTCACTCAGCGAGCCAAGGCAAAAATCAGAATATTACCTAGACTCCAACTGAAGCCAAAATCCTGCAGAACCCCACTCAATATGCCCTTGCACACCGAATTGTCAGTAACTGCTTTTAGAGGGTGGCACTCCTGCGAGCTGCGTGCTCCCTTTCCATCACCTTTCGAGGTCCTGCTCCTGCCTCCCATGAGACCATTACCTGAGCCAGCACTGAGAACCTCCCACCCACAGGTTTTATCCTCATTCACAGAGCACTGCCCTGCTACAGCACAGAATTTCCTTTGCTGGCCACAATTTTACTAAAATCCATACTGGCTATTGCTTTCTACGTTATTAGAACCTGGATGCTTATAAACACTGAACTGGTTTAAACGTTTCTCTAACAATAAAGCTTATTTAGAAAGCTAGATTATTTATTTTCAGAGACATCCTATCTGTCTTTTTCCAGGCACTGATGCCTCATCCACGATCCTCAGAAATAACAGCTTACACCCACAGTCTGAGCCTTTATGTTTAAGTATCTCTCTAACATGAGAGCCATTAGTACCCAATTTATTTAAACCACTTGGTAACCCACAGGTTTTGTATCCTGTCCTAGGTTCTTGTGAACGCATTGCTTTCTCATCACGGCCCGCTGCTCTGGCGAGGACATCCCAGCCCCCTCGCAGGTACCGCATCCCCCCGTCAGCCCCCGCCGCTGCCTTGGCCCTGGACGCAGCCGGGATGTCAGCAGTAAAAACGGAAGCCGGGGGCCGCGGAAGGCCGCGCATCGCCTCTCCGTCCCTTACGGCCGTGAGTTTTACCGTCAGAAAGACGGTTCGTAAAATAAGGCGTTTCATAAAATGCAGAAAGCTGAGCTGAGA